AAGTTGTATTCTATCTACACCTCTGATTTCACATGAAGTGTAGTTATTACCTAAATCTCTTAATAGTTTGTTATAGAGTCAGAAGTCTCTTGCTTTAGTGCTTGAGCATTTGAAGTCTTGAGCTTCTCTGATTAAGCAAGGAAGTTTAAGACTTGTGTGTTAGATCAAGGAAGTTTTGAACTTTTGTGCTTGAGCAAGAAGGTCTCAAATTATGTGTTTGAGCAAGGAAGTCTTATACTTGTGTGTGTGTGTATGTGTGTGTGTGTGTGTGTGTGTGTGTGTGTGTGTGTGTGTGTGTGTGTGTGTGTGTGTGTGTGTGAGAGAGAGAGAGAGAGAGAGAGAGAGAGAGAGAGAGAGAGAGAGAGAGAGAGAGAGAGCAAAGGAAGTCCATTACTTGTGGGATTGGGCATTCATAATCAGATTCAGTTATAGGGGAAATCCCTTGGAAGTACAAGGGGACCAAACTACTCTCAGGTTGTGAGAGGTAGTAGGATAAATTACTTGTGTCTTGTGCTTTTGCTTTACTTGCTTCTGAACATTATTCCGCTGCTATCTATTGTTTACTTTTGAGTCAGATTTTGTTGCATAATCTGATAAAAATATTCAAGAGTTCAGACTCTGAGTGACTCTGATTTAGACTCTGAAATGAAGATTCAGTCTCTGATTAAGATTAGTTAGAAGCAAAAGTTAAAAAAAGCTTGAGAAAAGCCAACCCAATTCAACCCATTTCTTTTGTTTTATCTCTTACCTTCAAAACACATGATTAAAATTTGAATACATTATAAAAACAAGAGAACTACTAATATTGTAGCCTCTCTGATCCAATTTCCCCATTTCAACGAATAGATTATCGTGTTAGCTTTCTAACGCAGGTGACCGCACCTAAAACAGACTTACAAATACACCGATTTTTTAAAATACTAACTCTCTTCTATTTTTCTTTCTCACATTTTCATATACATTCATTTTTCACTAGAGTTATCTTAGTGCCAAAATAGTGAAAAGTTTCATCTATGAGTTATGTTGTACCAGTATTGTGATGTAAATGTTTATTCAAAAGTTTAATTCGTTTGTGATCTTTTGTTATAGACTTGAAGGTTGTAAGTCAAACTTGTAAAAAAAATGGTATAAGATTATTGAGTTGAGCCTATGTAAAAGTTTTAATTATTTGTGAAAGGTTATTGAGTTGAGCCTATGTAAAAACTCTAGGTTATTCATGAAAGGTTTTATAGTCGGATTCTATACAAAATCCCAAGTTGTTTTGTAAGGTTTTTTGGGTTAATTTTGTGTAAAAGCTCAAGTTTGTTTTAGTAAAAATCTTAAGGAAAAACTATTGGGAACTAGAATAAGTCATATGATTTAGGCAGAATCAGGATAATCTTTGATGTGATCTTTTTATCCTTGTCTCTTTTATTTATTTATTTTATTCCACTGCCTATCTTTTTGTCTTTTTTTCATTTATATTATTTTGCTGCTTTATCTCTGTTTATTTCTCTATTCTAACATAAACTGTTTTATCTTTTTTATTTATATACACATATTTTTAAAATCTAAATATCACAATTCATCTATCTCGTATTTGAAGTCACTTGGTCAACAAAAATACTCGATCAAGCTCGCCCCCGCCCATTGTGTGTTACATTTCAAAGAAGAACGTGTCAAGCCACATTTTAAGAAAGTCCAATGAAACTTTCTCAATCAATAACTAAAGTATTCATTGGTCCCATAAATTAACCCGCCTCTACTATTAGATGACTTACCCTGGTCATTCCACTAGGGTTAAAGTCCAAAAATATACAACCAAATTTATAGACATTATAATCCATTTCTCAACGTCTCCTCGATTAAATGACCGCGTCTATAAGTCCTTAACTACTTGAGAATATTCATCCATTTTCTACCTATCAGAATCTAAAATCCTTTTTATACTAGTCAACATAAACAAAGTAGTATAAATTGTACTCATTGTAACTAGGGGTGAAAATAGGCTAAGCTAGACTAGGCTTTATAGGCTCTGTTTTTTTTTAGTCTAGTCTATTCTAGCCTGAAAGCCTATTTAAAATCCTGTTTCTTATTAGGGTTTTTAATTAATCCATATTACTTAAGAAGTCTTATATGCCGATCTATATATGCATATATAGGTCAACCTATTTAACATTTTTCTAATATATATGTCTATGTAGGCCGACCTATTTAACATTTTTTCTAATATATATATATATATATATATATATATATATATATATATATATATATATATATATATATATATATATATATATATATATATATATATATATATATATATATATATATATATATATATATATATATATATATATATATATATATATATATATATATATATATATATATATATATATATATATATATATATATATATATATATATATATATATATATATTTTTGATATATATGAAAATATAAGTATGCTTATAAGATTTCATAGAATTTTTTAATAGCCTAAGTATGACCTATTTAATAAAATAGACTTTTAAAAAAGTCTAAGTTTGACTTTTTTATTAAATAGGTTTGACCTAACCTTAAATAGGTTAGAGTATAGCCCCTATAGGCCGGTCTGAGCTATTGCAACTATAAAATAGATAAAAAATATTGCATTTGTACCAAATTTATGTAAATATTAACCATATATCGTAAAAGCTAAAGAAATTAAAAATATATAATAAAAAAAAGACTAACTTACTTTATTTTACAACTTGTAAAATACTCGTACTCTCGCATGAGTAAAATTATTTTGATAATGTAATAATAATTTTTTTAGATATACTTATAAAAGTTCATTGTAATTGATAATTTTTTTAGATTTACTTATAAAAGTTCATTGTAATTGAGAAAGTATAATGAGAATTTACGAAATTAAATTATTACAACAAAAAAATTTGCAATATGATTATCTAAAATATAATGGTAAACTTGACAAAGGATGTCAAAGATCAATAATAATAAAAAGAAATAGATAAATAGAAATACAACATATATTATAACATATTGTTATACTGCTCCAATAGTTTAGATTTGAAACATCAATCTTTAAAATAAACTTAACAATTTGGTTCGTAAAAAGAAAAATTAGTTGTATTAAATTGATTTTGCGTATGTTGGAGCGACATGAATATGTAGAATTCTAATTGATATAGGTTGTGATAGTTTTACGAAAGTTAGAAGAGTATTGTGAAATTAAAAAAGTTTAATATCATTAAAAAAGTAGTCACTCATTCTTGTCTTAATCAGAAATCTAAAAGTTAAAAGGTCATAGTAGTATTCTAAGTATGTTAGACTATACATCAGGTCATAGTAGTATTCTATGTATGTTAGACTATATATTGATGTAAGTTAATTAATTTAATGGATGCTTAGTTAGTTATTATAACTGAATGAGTTTGTGCATTAAAGTTCTTATCCTATGGTAAAATAGTTATGGTTACAAACTAGTTTGTTTTTTTTAGTTTCCATTGCAATGTCATACAACTGTTGATTATGCCTTCAACTTTGTAAAAAGAAACAATTGGTGCTATAGAGTCCTGCTCATGTATGCTTGATTTGCAACATGGTGATCAAATCTACATTTAGGAAGACCTCAATGAATTAATATCAAAATTGACAAATAATATAAAGGCGGATGAACAACTTAGAATTCATCTATTATAAATCTGCATTTATGAATGACTCAATAAATTTTATAGTATATTTTCATAAACCTATGTGATTTTTTTTTGATTAACAAACAAAAAAAAAACAACATCAACAATTAAATCTATAAATTATTAAGTATCAAACAATCTTTTATAATCAATAAGAAACATACACTTGATAAAAAATCCGTCAACATTCACAAATTAACATAAGATAGTTAAAACAACTATTCAAATAGAAAAATATGAACCAAGAGAAGAGAACCAAGCTCAGAACTAGTTCCTCCCGCAACAACATTAAAAACCAAAAACCCTTAAAGACTATTGCAGTTGTGAGCAAGCTTTTGGATTGAAAAGAGTTAGTGCATCTCATTCCACCAATCAATATTTATTGTTCACTTGCTTTGCCTATTTTTAAAAAAAAATCTAAATTCATAACAAAACAAACACTCCAAATGAGAAGAAACGAACCAAATTGAAATCATAACACCACAAATATAATATATATATATATATATATATATATATATATATATATATATATATATATATATATATATATATATATATATATATATATATATATATATATATATAGATTAAGTTAGGATTTTGAATGAAAAAAACATATATTTCTTCTACCACCTTCGCAAAGAAGTTAGGATTCCAAGAAAAAAATCAACATCGCAAAGAAGTTTTTATGAGAAGATTAGAATGTACTATTTCTATTCCAAACGAATGGATGGTTGACAAATGGTAAGGATATAGAGAATTTGTTTGAATTAAAATGAAATCACTAGTCGATTACCAATCCATTTTTTTTTATAGTGTATTTTTTTTAATGTTGAAGGGCAAAATAGAAAAGGCATGCAATAAATTTTGGATGCATTGATAGTAGATTGCATAGTAGCCCAAAATTTTACAATTTAAAAATAAATTCAAAAAAATTAATCGTTTAACCTTTAGTCTATTATACTAAAATGGTAATAACATGATTTCATTCCAAATATGGAGATGATCGGTATAACTGTTGCCTACCTGGTAAAATCCCCCAAATCACCAGCACTAATTAGTTCAATACGGATATTTGTTTTCATCTAGTTAAAAAAACGGTTTATCTGTTTACTTGCATAAAATAAGACGAAAACAACACACAGAGATAAAAAGAATGTGAAAACAAGAAAGTCGGTGTCGTAAATGCCCTCCACTCTCACACTGTTTAATACATTCTCTGGGTTTCATTCACTTCTCTTCTCTCAATCCCCATTACCATGAACATCATCATCGTCACCAATCTCTAACAACTCTCACATAAACATAGCGTTATGGGGCAAGAAAACCACTTAACTCAAAAGAGAACAACCAGCGTCGGAGGAGTATTACCAACCACCACACCAACAACCCCAACGGCCTCACGAAACCGAGCACTGCCACGTGGACGTCAGATCCAGAAAACATTCAACAACATCAAGATCACAATTCTCTGCGGGTTCGTTACCATTCTCGTCCTACGTGGCACTATCGGTGTTAATCTCGGAACGTCGCAAAACGACGCCGTGAATCAGAATGTCATCGAGGAAACTAACCGGATCCTCGCGGAGATCCGATCTGATTCCGATCCGGCCGATCGGAATCAGACGGAGACTTTTTTGAGTCTGAATGAAACTTATGCGCTTGGTCCTAAGATCCGGAATTGGGATACGGAGAGGAAAAGTTGGCTTGATAAGAACCCGGAATACCCTAATTTTGTTAGAGGGAAACCTAGGATCTTGCTTCTTACGGGTTCGCCGCCGAAACCCTGTGATAATCCTATTGGGGATCATTACCTTCTGAAATCTATTAAGAATAAGATCGATTATTGCAGGTTAGTGTTGTTTCTGCTTCCATTTTTTTGTATTATTTTTGTATTCTAGTGTTTAGTAATGTTCAATTTTGTTTGTTTGCACATTATAAGCTTATGAGATGATTTTAAGTCAATGTTAAAAATACATAAATTTTTAATTACTGCGAGTTGAAATTGATTTTGCTTTGAAATCTAATTTTTATAGGCAAATGTCAGTAGATTAGTGCTTAATGTTTATATTACTTTCCTTGATTTGGATACTAGACTTTGTGATGAAAAAATTAGCTTGAAGATTTTTCGAGGTAATGTAATTAATTCACTTTGAAGCTCAATTTCAACGGAATTAATTTAGACCAATCTCATTCAAAATCCAACTTTGTTTTTTATGTTTTTTTATATTTGATTTAACTTGTTATTTAGTGCAAAGTAAACCTAATTACTTTTTCATGTTATGCTTCATCTGTTATATTAATGGCTAATGCTATGGTGCACAAGTGGTACAAGTCTTGTACGATGCAAAAGTTTTTTTTACCACTAGATCATTAAGTACAACCATATGTAATGATAGACCCAACAAGCCATCACATCATATCTACTCACTCTCCTTCTCCGCAGTCTCTATTCTAGCATGGCTGTAATGGTTTATGTTTTATGGAAATTTCCAGCTTGGTTATGATAGATTCATAATTTCATGTGCTAATGTATCAATAGTACGCAATAGTCTTATGGTTCCGTTATGCATCTATATCTAAAATTTACTTTCATAGGAAACTTATTGCCCGCCCCTATATCATTAGGCTTTAATGTTTTTCAAATTCATAAAATATGAATTAAAATGCTTAATGTTGTCGACGGCAGAAGGCCAAGAATCCGCCATATAAACATGCCATGGCGGGAATTCCTTCACAAATTTCTTGTTGCAGTTGCTCAAAATTTTGTCATGCCATGACCACCATTTAATAACACTGTAAATGCTTTAGTGGGATTCTTTTAGGAAATGAAGAATCAAAGAAAAGTCATGCTTTTCTGTTACATGTATCATGAACTGTAGAGAACAAAAAAATAAAACAAATAAACTATATATAAACTATATTTCTATAAGAAATTTATTCATTCTAAAGTGGCGTGCCCAAAATAGATCTTCCCATAGTATTTATGTGTTTTTTGGAAGGTTGGTTTGGGACATAAAACTTGTTGAAGTCAGGAAGGGAGAGAAGACAGAGTAGATTTTGTGCTGTAGGTGTATCACCATTACATATGCCGAGACTTAATGATCTAATGGTGAAAAGAACTTGTGCATGATAAAAGACCTTTACCACTTGTGCTCAGTAGAATTAGTGGTTTGTATTCGTTTTTGGAAAATGAAATAATAAATCTAAAAATTATTATTATTTGAAAGTTGAAATTACCTTTCAGAAACTCTTATTTAATCTCCATAAACGGCTTAGTTTACATAAATTTTTCCTGAAGTGAAGAAACTTGTTTGCTCTAAATGCTTGAAGTTGACTTGAACTTATCCTGAATATATCTGCATTAACTACAGATATAATAAAGCCTGTGTATTATATTCTGATCTGTCATATGCTACTGCAGATTGCATGGCATTGAAATTGTGTACAACATGGCTCACTTGGATATGGAGCTTGCAGGTTACTGGGCCAAATTGCCCATGATTCGGAGGCTCATGTTATCACATCCTGAGGTGGAGTGGATTTGGTGGATGGACAGCGACGCTTTCTTTACGGACATGGTGTTTGAGCTTCCCATGAGTAAATATAATGATTATAATCTGATTCTTCATGGGTATCCTGATTTGTTGTTCGAGCAGAATTCTTGGATTGCGGTGAACACGGGGAGCTTTTTATTTCGCAATTGCCAATGGTCCTTGGATTTGCTCGATGCTTGGGCCCCCATGGGCCCGAAAGGACCCATACGGGAGGAGGCCGGAAAGATTTTGACAGCAAATCTCAAAGGAAGGCCTGCATTTGAGGCTGACGATCAATCGGCGTTGATATATTTATTGTTGTCAAAGAAGGACAAATGGATGGAAAAGGTATTTCTTGAGAATTCTTTTTATTTGCATGGTTATTGGGCTGGATTGGTCGATCGGTATGAAGAGATGATGGAGAAGTATCATCCAGGGTTAGGGGATGAGAGGTGGCCTTTTGTAACGCATTTTGTGGGGTGTAAGCCTTGCGGGAGTTATGGAGATTATCCAGTGGAGAAATGCCTTAGTAGCATGGAGAGGGCTTACAATTTTGCCGATAATCAAGTGCTTAAGCTCTATGGGTTTAGGCACCGTGGATTGTTAAGCCCTAAAATCAAGCGGATCAGGAATGAGACGATTACTCCTTTGGAGTTTGTAGACCAGTTCGATATACGAAGGCATCATACAGGCAAGGTGGAATCAAGAAATTAGATTAAGGTTTCAAATTGCAGTTTTTGATATTATGGTTGATAATTGCAGTCAATACAACCTCAATTGCTGTCACGACATTAGAGAAACATTGATATTTGATTTCACATGAAACATTCTTTGTGCGGTTGTTCCAGAATGTAATTTAAAACCATGAGGAAAGTAACATGTCTGGGGTAGTAAACAGGTAATGCATAGGCTATATTTATAAGTGGGATATGATGTGAAGACGGTGAAACATGTAACTTTTTCTCTTTTGTTTTATTGTCTTGGTAAGTTAATAGGAACACCATATAGGATAAAATTCTTTCATACAAATTGTTATTTTTCAGAATCATGTTTGAGTAATCAGTACTTTTTTACTGATCTGCTATACTGAGCATGTTTGTGTGTGTTTTTTTCCTTTCTCTGGCGCAGCAAATTCATGGATTTATTCCATTTCCTGTTAAATTCAGGAGTTTATTGTAACATGCGTGACCACTGGTTTCTGTTTCTGCTCATATCAGTGGTAGCACATTTGAAATGTTAATTTTCATGATAGAAGGGGTGAGGAAACAAACATGTTTTTCAACTTTGTTAACATGATTGTGAAGTAGTTTCTATTCTGCTATTTGGAAGAATCATTTTCATATTTATAACGTGCTTTAATTCTTCTAACAGATATTCTAAGTAGAACATAACTCAAATATTAGAAAAATGCAATTCTAGCGAAATATAATGTAAATTTGAACTCTTTCTCCATATTTAATTTAATCTGAAAAAAATTTTAAAAATATTTTCATGAAACAAGTTTTAATTGCATTTTTTATCCTTTTAACTTATTTTTGAAGTTCATGGTGTTTAAGAATTTATATAAACATAGATAGTAAAGATTGCTAAATTTTAAAAATGAAAAAATAAATTAAAACTGACTTGACTCAACTTGATACTTTTATTGCTAGCAAGAAAATGACTTGGTTTTACAAATCCAATATAATGGAATGCAAATTACAATAAAATGATTTTTATTTTTAAAACTAAAGGATGTCAAACATACATTCTTATTTATTCATGAAAACATCCATGAACTTAAGTCAATCCAAAATTAAAATAACTTGAGAGATAATTCTCTAAATTTAATTGAAAATAAAATGTATCATAAAATCTCTTCAATCTTTTAAATTCTATAGATTTATTATCCAAACTGTGTAATTTATGTAACTATAAAAAAAAATTAAATAACTTACTCGCTAAAACAAGTACACGTGTAAGCTCTACTCTATCTCACATTCTCAAGTACAATATTTCCAGAAACAAGTACACGTGTAAGCTCTACTCTATCTCACATCCTTTACGTTCTAAACATGTCAAAATTGTATATATTCACAAAAGTTACTAGTTGTTGGCACCAAATATTTCTATTCAGGATCATTAGTCTTCTTGCCCCCATACCTCATCCATTGTACCCTTTCATGATGCATAGGAAAAAACCACATCTTAATCGTCGAGCACGAAAAGTACGGTATAAGCGAAGAAATCATCACGAATAGTGTGACAATCCAATAGGAAGGAGTCGGAGCAAGAGTCTCGACAAAGACTTTGTAAGCATTTGTGGAAAAGCTTGGAGGCAATGATCCATAAGTAAACATGAAGAAATACCAAAGAGCAATAGAACCCCAAATGGCAATATGTTGTACCAAGGTGAAATATCGAACAGATAGCACCATCTGTAGGTTTACAACCCAGACGACACAAGTATACATGGTTTCTCCTAGCATGGATTTTCCGGCGGTTTGTCCGTTCTCGTCGAAGGCTTGAAGGCCTATTGCTTTTGTGCAGAAGAAGAAGATTATTATGGCGCTGATGAATCCGTTGAGCATCCAGCTTAGAATCCGGCGCCAGCTGAATAGGACATTTTGCACACCTTCTTGGTATAAGATGGGAAACTGCAACATTGAACAGAAATAACATGGAATGATTGCCATTCGTCACTCACAAGAGGAAATAAAATGAGTATTTTTTTTACTTCATTTATGTCTGGCTTTTAGTTTTGTTTGTCAAATATGATTTTAGTGAAAATGCAGATTTCACTTTCCCAAATTATTACTAGTGGTCGTATCAGTGTCAGTGTTGGTATCCGTGTATATCTATGTGTGCTTCATAGAACATGCTAGATGGTGAACAGTAAGCTTACCTTGTGGCAGTACCTAGCAGATACATCTTGGTCAAAGACCCCAAGGGCAATGGCAGGAAGTGAAGAAAACAACACACTATAGAAAGATAAAAACCAATCATTGTACGCAGGCTGTCCAGAGAATGATGCATACACCTCATATAAGAATAGAGTGAAGCCAAATGTAATATTCTTGTAGAAAAAGTAACATATCTGCCTCAAGAATAAACAAGATATATTAGATAATCTTTCAGAATATAAATCTATTGAATGTTGAGATCCAGTTTCAAAGTCTTACCATTGTGGACATCCTCCGGTAACACCAATGTCCGTGTACAAGAAGTAATCTTTCTAAATACCGGAACTGCGCAATTGCAATATCACTAGACATGACGGCCTAGGGTGGAGAGATGATAGAAACTAAAAAGTTATAACAAAACAGGATATGGAAGTGAAAATCAATAATAAAAAAGAATACTGTAGTTCGTTATTTTTTTTTTATGTACCTGCATTCCTTCAACGCCACTGATTCCAACACCTACATCAGCTTCTTGAAGCATTCCTACATCATTAGCTCCATCACCAATAGCTAATGTTGTTTTACCTGTTCCTTCTTTAACCAGTCTAGTAACCTTTAATGAGAGGTACCAATAAAAGTTAGTATCCCCTTTATATGTAGGTATAGATCGACCAAAAAAAATAAGGACAAAATTTTCAAGTAGAGGGGAAAAACAAAGAAAGGGCTTAAACATACCAGGGCCTTCTGCTTTGGTGAAGAGCGACAGCAGATAACAGATGCACAGCGAGTTGCAAGCTCTAAAAACATGTTTTTTGTATTATCCTCTAGAGCATAAACAAGTGATTTTCCATCAATTATAAGAGCAAATGTTTGCTGAGAGGGCCCTTTAGATGCAGAAAGCAGTTTAGAACCTTCCGATATCTGATGATACACGCTTTCCCTTGATGCCTAAAATAAGAATCCGCAAAATAATATTAGTCCAACCCCTATGTTCTTCCCTCCAAAAAAACCAAGTCAATTTATCACTACACTTCTTGTCAAAGATTAAAGGCTAAAATATTTTATTTTACGTTGATGATAGCCTTCTTGTCTCCATCCTTTTCCAATGCTTGAATATCTGGAATCTCCAAATGAATGATAATCTGTTTCATTCCTTGTCGAAGCAAGCGACAAGAAAAACTGCATTCGTATATTCATGTCAAACATCTTGAAAAGTAGTTCTCATGATGAAGCCATTGTAAAGAGAAAATTAATAATTTAAGTATAATATTATACCCAATGTTGATGGCAGTTTCCATTTTGTCCCCAGTCAAAACCCATATCTTAATTCCAGCCTGTGCAAGTTTGTCAATACATTCAGGAACCTAGCAAAACAATATAGTTAGTCATGATTTCAAGTCTTGATCCAACCGATACATTTTCTTTAGAGAAAATTTTTGCTACCCCGTTTTGGAGTTTGTCCTCTACAGCAGTGGCACCAAGAAGGATAAGATTCCTCTCAATCTTATCTGATACTTCCTCAATCAACGATTCACGGTCTACGGTGACTGAATTTTTTACTTTGGAAAATTTATTCTCAAACTCATTATATTCTTCTTCATCGAGTTCACGATAGGCCAGTATCAGCGTTCTTAGACCTGCATCAGCATACTCGTTCATATGTTCCAAAGTTTTCTCTTCAAACTCCCTCCCATTCTTGACAAGCCTTTCAAACATGACACTGCATGAAGATTATGACTCAAGGCAAGTTAATAGGTTAAATGGAAAGGTAAAACTCAAAAATACCGAAGGCTGCGAGTTATTTAGTCGCTAACCTGTCAGCACCTTTAGAGAGTAACAAAATTCTCCCTTCTTCGTCTTTCACTATCACCGACATTCTCTTCCTTGAACTATTGAATTCTAAGACATTGAGAACCTTGAATGTCCTGCAACATGAAATCAGTTACTATGTAGAAGATGATCTATTTGGCATTACTTGACATTGTCAAGTAATAGTTGACATGAATAAAATAAATGTCAATGCAGGAGTCAAAATCCCAAAATAACAAACAGACAAGAATTTGGAAAAAGAAACCTAACCTATTAACTTCATCGCCAGATACGGGATCCAACTCTTTCATCGATACACTATTCTGAGTCCTTTTGTAGAATTTAAAACCAACTTCTCTTGCAGCAATCACAAATGCTGCTTCATCAGGAGATTCAGCTTCATATGAGACTCTTCCGGTATCTTCATCTACTTCAGGTATGGCAGTATGACAAACAGACAATAAACGGAAAAACTTCTGTATAACATCCGCACGAGGCTCATTAACCCAGTTTCCATTCATTATCCTTTCATCCATAAAATTAAAACCTTTGATCGGTTCTTTTCGATTACGAACCTCTCTGATATCATCTGGTTCTGGTTCCGATCTATTAATTTGTTGATGTATCATAGGTGAGTTATTACTTATATTACCAATGGCTTGCTCAACCTCGGTGACACCACGACCATAAGCTACCCCAGCAACCGAACATTTGATGAACTCCATCGAGTTGCAAGTCAATGTTCCAGTTTTATCAGAAAGGATTGTGTCAATTTGGCCTAGTTCTTCATTCAAGTTCGAAGTACGAGCAAGAGCCGGTTTGTCCAGTTCTTCATAGTACATATTGATATCTTGATTAATGAAGATGCATTGAAGGACTTTGACCAATTCTATAGAGAAATACAAGGAGATGGGAATGAAGAAGTTATATAACATTAAGGCCGTCAAAAAATGAAATACAGAAGCTGCAACAACTCTTTCAGGATCGAAGAAAATGGTGGAATCATCTGGTCTTAGATACCATCTTTTCATAACTCCGTTGTGTAAGTCGCGTTTAGTTACAATTCCAAAGAGAATAGAACCAACAAAAGCAATAAAAAATAAAACACAAAATAAGAAGTAGATAATCCTATCCATCTTCTTCTCTATTTTGCTTCTTTTCGAAGGAGGATCAGTGGCATTTTGAATAACCTTAGTGTCATGACCGGTAAAGATGACTGCTCCGTACACATAGTCCGTGTTACGAAGTTTAGAGTCTCGTAGAAGAAGTTGTTGAGGAGAAAGGGGATATTTTTGTCCATCAAACTCCATGCTCCCAACAAATGAGTACAAATTTGCATTTGGATCTTCACATTTGACCGCAGCTTTGAAATCACGGAATTTAAAGTCCTCGTTTAAGGAAGAAGTTACTTCCAATCCTTGTTTTAGCTTCAAATTTGTCTCCCCGTCCAAGTTCATAGTTTCAACATAGCACACCGCATCGTCATAACTCGACGAAAGCAATAGGAGATCAGCAGGGAAGAAATCATCCTTCTTTACCTTCACTATATTCCCCACCTTGAGATTCTTCCACTCCGTATATTCGAAATTTTCATCACCTTTATGAAATATAACTCTTCTATTGTTCACCTCAATATCCTACAGAACTATGCAGTTAGCTAAGTAATGAAATGAAAACTGATCTATTTACGTTCAAATTTATGAAACACTAACACAGCACCACACACGACAACAACGGTAATAATTAAGAAAAGTGAAAATAATTGAATATAATCACATGTGTCATCATATTGGTGTCAGACACCAAATGCACTTCGAATCCGAAGTGTCATTTCTACATTCATATCATATCTACATACATTTGACATTAAAAGAACAAAACTCGCAACATGATAAAGTGATAGTTATCAAAACACAATAGTACCTGCTTTTTCCGACGCCAATCTTCAACACCTTCTTTCACCATAGTTGCACCAGTAATGATACACAGCGGAAGAATAGCACTAACCGCCGTATATGGAGCAAGTTTAGTGAAAGCCAAGATACCAGTAACAAGGAAATAGAAATTAGCTACCCTCCTAAACTGCTCAAACAATGACTTAGGCAAGAAATTAGCAACTGTATATTTTGTTGACCTAACAGAATTATCAGCATAACTATTCCTAAAATCTGATTCAAAACTATCTTGTTCATTGCATAAAACAACCCTAGAAAACCCTTGTTTTCCAATCTGTGGATTTCCTGTCCTAAAGTTTGGTTTTTGACCACATCTAAATGAATATATCTTGCTGAAATTAAGCTTCTTCATCTTCATAATACAACCCTTAAATCTACTTTTATCCAGTAATTCGAATAAAATAATCCAAAAAAATAGGCAAAAAAATACCTACTCAGATGGTAACTCTCCTAGAACTAGCAGACAAATTGGTGAAATTTCTTTAAATTCTCAAAAAGCTAATCCACTTATTTAAAAAGCACTTAATTTCAAGTTCACATCAAACAAAAAAGCTAAGAAAACGCGTTTTGAAAAGCAAAGATTAAGCAGAATATATATAGAAAAGCAGAAACAGTGTGAAAATTGAGGATATCTAGAAACTGAGACAAATTCTATAATGGAGGTATTCGTTGAAAAAGAGGAACGTGAAGAATTTTGAAATTTACTCCATAAACCGTGGTTGTTGAGCATTTTTATCAAAACGTGTTATTTGTAAATTTCGTAGAAATTAATAGCAGAAGCGAAGATTGGTTCTTTGTGAAGTAAGATAAAGAAGTACTAGAATCAAAGTGAAAGTACTAGCAACTGAAAAGTTTCAATTTGGAGAAACAAAACAGAGAAAGATCTGGATTTTTAAGATAGAATAGTACTAAAAAACCAAAAAGAAACATTGTGGACTAATGTTTTTGATATTATTAATGAGTGACACTTTTTTATTAACTATTAATTAATGACACTATTAATAAACTAGCGTCCACACGGACACTCTCCGCTTTTTTAATACACGCGTAAAAATTTAAATAATATTTTTTATTTAATATTAATTTTAAGGGTAATGTTAATTTGTGCCCTTGAAGCACATGTTAAGAAAACCACTTTTAGTAAATTTGTATTGAAAAAAACAATTTAAAAATTAATTTTATAATTTAATTTAAGTTTGTACACAATTTTCAAGATGATATTTCTTAATTTAGTTCTTAACATGTGTCCCAAGGGCACAAGTTAACATTACCCTAATTTTAAATAGAGGTTAAGTAGGAAGTTAAGAGTAAAAAGTTATTAGTAAGACGTTAGGTAAGAAGTTATGTAGGAAGTTAATAGAAGTTATTGAGTAAGTTATACATTAAAGTAAATGTAAAACTATGTGGAAGTTAATATTATAAATTATGTGGAAGTTAATAATAGGAAGTTATTAAGTAAATTACACAATAAAATAAGGGTAAAAATAGTATAAAAAAAATAGACTACACCAAAATAAAGTATTTCCTTTATATATTGTATAGATAGATTATAGATTATGTAAAATATAATTTTTCTATAATATTATTTATTATTTAATATTCTATTTTTTAAAGTTTTTAAATATTTCTTATATTGTTTGGATTCAGTTTTTCAAATTAATTTCCCAAATAATTCATGTTTAAAAAAAACTAAAATATCTCACTTTCAGATGAGGATGATGTAAGTTATGAAACCACCTAAGAGGAGGGTGAATTAGGTGTTTAGAGATTTTTCTCGATTTTTTGACAATTTTGAATTTTACTTTCCTAGAAGTTTCTAAGTGATGGAATGCTATAAAGATGGAAAGTAAAGAACACCAGGAAGTATATTGGTTCCCCTCACAGGTCGAGAGTACTCCAGTCCCCTTTCAACATGAAAGAGATTTCACTATAATGTTACATATTAGACAAGACTACCTACTCTTTCTAAACTAGATTCTAACAAAACACTAAAAACAATCCTCTTGGATTTTAAAAGTTTAAAGTCCACAAGATAACAAGGATTCTAACAAACCCTATAAGAGAAACAATCCTTCTCCTTATAGTCAGCACCTAAATCCAAACAATCCTTGGAATTTTAGGATTTTACAATAGTTTTGAATTTGAGTAAGTAGATAAAATTTTGATTCTTCAAGATATCAATCACAAGATCGATCTTCTCCTTTGTAACACTCAATTCTCAAGACAATAATACAAGTGTTCTTTGTATGCAAATGAAACTATGATGATAAATATGAAGGTTTATGCAAAGTTTCACTTTTTGAAAAAATCTGAAGAACACTTAGAAAGATTTTGAAGATTGAGAGAAATGAATAATTGATTTGAAATTTTGTAAGGAGGTGAGGTGTAAAAGACTATAGAATGATGTTTATATATGCCTATGACACCTCTACTGAAGGTTACAAATCATGAAAGGATGCCATGGTTGGTCAGACAAACCAACAGAAAAATTTATGAAGGGATGCAATAACATTTTTGGCTCTGTTTCAATGGTAACCGGTTACTTGATAAAGGGTAACTGGTTACTTAATTGTAACATATAGAAAATTTGAAGGTTTTGATAGGGTAACCGGTTACCTTATAGAGAGTAACTGGTTACTTCAAAACAGAATTGAAAAAATGCTTAAAAAACAGAGTTTCAAAACCATTTTATTGCAACTAAAAATGTTTCTAAGGAACATGGCATAAATGAGGAATATGATGAACACTTGTATCAATGCATGAGTTTAAGTGTAATACCTATTCCTTTAAGCTTCAATCTTCATAATGCCTTGACATTTGTAGAGAGTTAATTTTTAAGCAGAGCAGGAGACTTGATCAATCCTTTTTGTTAATCCATCGTGTCTTTATGAGAAGCTTTGTAGGTGAGTCTTCATCAAAACATCTGAGAAGCCATGTCTTCACATTCTCCCCCTTTTTGATGATGACAACCAACCTTTAACAATTTGAATTAATAAACTTGAGTTCTCTAACAAGCTCCCCCTAGAGAGATGCTCCCCATCAAACTAACATTTGAAGAAGCTTTGAAATTCTGCAAGTTGTTAGAGAAAAACACAAAAGCTAATTCTTCTCCCCCTTTGTCATTAACAAAAAGGATGGGAAAAGATTTCAACTGAAAACAATAAACAATAAACATCGTACGAAGATTACTAAACGAGTTTAATAATACGTACTAGAAATATCCAGACATTAAAACAAAACTGCAACATAAAACATAACATAATGTAAAAATGAAATGATCACAAAAATTTAATCATCTTCAGCCATATGGTCTCCTTCTCCCTCTTCATCTCCACCATCTTCATCTTCATCTTCATCACTTTCTTCAATAATAGCCCGGGAACGGTTCATGAATCTAAAAAGTTTCCTAAGGGCATTTATTCCCCTAGTTGTTTCACGATGATTTCTGTCCATGGTTTCCTTGATGGAGCATATTTCAAAATATAAGAGTTTATTGGTAATACCGCCTTCCTGGATATGAGGGTTTTGCGGAGCAAGCTCTTCTTTGTAGCGGAACATCCCATTAGGTGCAATAACAATGCCGGTGTTTTTAGTCGCTGTTATAACATTGATTTCACACATTTTAGCAACCATGTCAGTTTTTGGTTCCCTTTGTAGCAAAACATCCTTATATTCCAAAAACCTAGAGATGATCCGAGCGTAAGGTAGTTCGCCGTTGAGAGAAAGTTGGTGTCGCATATTGTGCACGATGACATATGTCCAGTTAATTTCTTTATTCAACTTCAGACATCTGATTAATTCCATTTCCAGCTCACTGGCCTGCGAATGATTTGAATGTTTTGGCACCAGAATATATGCCAAAATATTGTGAAGCATTATGTTGCTTACTATCAAAAGGTTTGCATATTTCACCACCCTGCTGGAGTTATGAGACTGCTTACTCATAGCATCCTCATGAGTTCCTCTACAGATGGAAACAAAATAATCTAGACTGTCAAAATTTTTCCAGAAGGGAAGGTCCAGAAGCACCCCATGACGAAGTTCTTCCCCCTTTGAAGGGATTTCCAAACAAGTTCCTATATTAGATAAATCCATAGAAATGTCGACCTTTTTAACTTTAGCAGTTATCATAATATCTCCAAAATCATCTGAACCAAATTTTAAAGTAGAGTAAAATTCCCTAATCAAATTTGGGTAATAAAAACCCTTCTCAGCAACAAGGTCTTTGACTCCAGAATTTTCTAATAAAGTGCTAAAAGAGAAGCTGTGACTAGGAAAAACACTAAAATTGACATATTTTACCGCCATCAAGGTCCAAGTTCGAACCGCGAAATCCAATCTTCGAGACTTGATTGTTGGTACATGTTATTCCTCAACAGCATCAGAGCTTCCTTCATCCATCTTATTCTTGCCTTTGTCTGGTTTGGGAGCCATGGATGAAGCTTTGAGAGTTTTAGGGTTTAAGGGATTTTTGGATTTGGAGAGGGTAAAGAGCTTTGAGATGAGAGTTTGTGAGTTTTGGTAGTGAATGGGTTTTATAAAGAGGAACTAGTGAGTGGGTTTTAATTCTCTTTGAATTTCTCCTTGAAAGTAATGGAGGTAGCTTGAAGGTAGAAGAAGAAGTGAATGGGGTTTTAGCATTGAAGACCAAGACTTATCAATGAGTAAATGAAAAATAAAAGATATCATTTAACCACAAGAGAAAAAAATTAAAACAATTTTTTGAGTTTAACAGTGGTAACCGGTTACTTCATATAGGGTAACCGGTTACACAATAAACATGCGCAGGTACTGGAAAACAGGAATGGGTAATCGGTTACTTCAGATAGGGTAACCAGTTACCTTATGCAAAAGTTCAAAAACAGTAGCATGATAACTCAAAAATGGTCAGGATTTTCCAAAAAAATTTGCGATGATATGTTATAACATAATATTATGCAACTAAGAATAACATATTTAAGCCGTAAACAAATATTTAAGAACATGAAAATTCAAGAAAGTGAAAAATCATCACATAATACACTTTTCATGTAAATTTGCAAGAAAATTAAAATGAAGGAATTTTATGTACCGGGCTTCACTATAGCATATAATGAATAAATATTGAATATCTACACATCTCCTTCATCTAAAATGCCAAGTTCTCTTTGAATCTTGTAAAACGCTCCTTTTGCGAGTGGTTTTGTAAAGATGTCCGCGAATGTGACTTCAACATCGCCTTTTAGCACATGATCACGTAGAAAATGATGTTGAATGTCTATGTGTTTTGTACGGGAATGCATGACTGGATTCTTTGTAATATTGATAGCACTTGTGTTGTCACACCGAAGAGGAATGCATTCGAGATTTAGTCCATAA